CAGGAGTTTCACACACACACACACAAGCACACACACAAGCACACGCACACAAGAAGAGCTGGAAGTGACCACTAAAACGTGTCTCGCCGAGTCGCCGGCTCAGATCCTGACAGGTGGAAGCTGCCGAGCTGCTGTACGATGTCATCCTCGCGTCAGAAGCTGTTTACAAGGCCAAACGCAAAAAGCCCCCAAGAGACTTCGCAACAGCACACAGCAGGTATTGCGCTGGACAGCTTCCCAGGTGGACTTCTACTCTGATCTTCTGGCATTGCTGGAGCACTTGGCTGCCGACGGCCGAGCCCTGTTTGCCGGGAAGCGCTTCTATTTCGGATGTGGTGGTGGTACAGCATCTCGGTTGCAATGTGACGGCAACACTAGTGGAGAGCACCATGTTCACGACTTTGAGTCAGCAGGACTGGAGAAATCATCTGCCAAGGCTTCCTTTGCCACGACCGCCAAGGGTGCTGGCTTCCATGTCGCGGTAGCCAAAGTCATCGAAGATGGCCGCTCCAACATTCGCGAAATCCTGCTCATTTCAAAGCCTCCCCGGAATGCATCCTGCAAGCGGCAGAAGGTCGATGTGGCCGACGCCTGAGAGCTTGCAGGCCCAGACCGCGCACCCGACGGACGCCGGCGCCGAAGCTGCAGGAGCTCTCCCAGAAGAAGGGACGGACCGCCATGGGCGCCACAGCCGCTACGGCCGAGTGTCCGAAGGGAAGACCACGATCCACGGCACGTGGGAGCACATGAGCGAAGGAATCTTCACGTCTGTACCACCAGAGAAGGAAGCCGAAAATCTGCTGTCAAAGCCTTCGCCAAGGATGCAGATCAGGGATCTGCGGCTTTGCAAGTATGGCATAAACATGTGCGAGGCTGCAGAAAAAGGCGGTGTTGGCATTTCGGGGGCTGAATGGTTCCTAGTCCTAGGCTCGTTTGAAGTCTGTTCAGACGATCAACTGAGGCTGGCGAGACTGCTCTCTCTTTGTGGAGCCCATTCTGCGGTGCTCCGGACCAGAGCAACGTGCACAGCTGAGTTGTGAAAGCACAGGACTGTGAACCGACCCCCGAACTCTGCTCCATCAGGCTGCAAACAAGTGTGCGCGTGGGCAGTGAGTACCACGGGGATACGGCCCGCTTCCTCGCTGTACCTGCGTGCATCGAAAGTGCTTGATACCTGTCTTGCTTGAGGGCTGCCTTTAACGGCTGCGGACGCCGTTTGCTCAGCCTGCCGTTTACAGGGACGGCCGTTCTGCGTTGATGCTTCGAGCCTCTTCAACTCGACGGGGCGACCAAGTAAGTTTTGTATCTTCAGCGCGTAAGCTTATGAAGTTTGAGTCTGATTGATTGATTGATTGATCGAAGCGGGGCTCATCAGGATTCAGTGACTGTGGCTTATGTAGCCACCTTGACAACCTTGATGATCTCTCTATATTCTATATATTATATGGAAACGCCTCATGTAGGCATTGTGAAGATCCCCTTAAAGTTCGCGGAGACAAACACCCCTAGACTAGATTCTCATCGAGGGCGACATCTCAAGCCTCGCTCGAACTTTCCAGCTCCAAAAGGCTGAAAGGCTGAAAAGTTGCTGGGCTAGACTTTGTTTTGTGCAGTGATGCTTTGAGCGACCGAGGTCAAAACGGACGGCGTGCCATTTGCGGCATTGCGTTCTCCTGAGGACACCGGGACCTGGCATGGCTCTCTATAGGCCGGTATTTTTGCCCAGGCTGTCAGCATGACGAGACTCACCGCCGGCCGATGTGCTCCTTCCACAGACATCTACAAGACTCCTCCGACTGAGAGAGAGAGAGAGAGAGAGAGAGAGAGAGAGAGAGAAAGAGAGATAGAAACAAAAAGCCATGGTTTTCGCGCCTCTAAGGCGGGGCCCGTGGCGCAGGCCGATGTTGAAAATTGCGAGGAGGCTCAGCTTGGGTTGAAGTGCCTGTTGGTGCCAGGATGCGGCAGGACCCGGTAGCATCGGACGGATTGCCAGGTCACACAAAAGCTGGCCGCTCAGCTGGATGCCACGTGCTCAGCTTCGGGACGCATAGCGGGCAGGTTAATGACAGTGGGATACAGTGGAACTTTATTTTGAGGTAGATGGATAGTCATATAGGTCTAGACATGGATAGACTAGCAGTCTGAAGCCCCGACACGAAGCCTGGCAAAGAGTCTATGAGGGCGAGGGTACGTAACCTGTAGTCGCAAGGACATTGCCGAGAACATGTCTCTTTCCACGAGCCTGTGCCTCAGTCACAGCGTCAACTTGCGTGAAAGAAGCCAAATAGTCGGCGGAAGGTTGATATGCAAGTTTGCCCGTGGCAGAAGATTTCATGGACGACCAAGTTGAGACGTGAACTGGTGGCCATCCCTCAGGAATAAAACATTCCTGGGCAGAACTGTTGGAGCTGCAAGATTCTAGCCCTGCTGCACAGACAAGCTTGCGGCATTGCATCAATCAAAAATGACGGTGAGTCCTCTCCCGTAGCTGGAGGGCACCTTCGTGGGGCTGCTGTCGAATCGCTCAATCTCGCCTACACCGGCCTTCACGGAGACCACCAAAGCAATTACCTCCAAGACATATCGGACATCGATCTCACAATCAGTTTTAGTGCCCTTATAGCTCCTGTGTTTGCGGAAACTGCACGTTGGGAGTTTCTGCGCCGCACGAGGTTGGGAGAGATGGGATGGCGCGGCCAGGCCAGCTCCGCTCCTTCTGATGGAGGCTGAGGGGTCAGTCTGCGGGACTCTTGAGCTCAGCTTCCTTCATTTCGCGTGCTCCGTTGTAAGGATCCCAGAATGGTCGTGGCCTGAGGGGTTCTAATTCTAAGTGCTGCTTTGTCTTTGCCACTGCAGTTCAGCTGCAGCTGAGACAGAATGCCCCAACACACCCGGAAATCCCTTGAACGAAGCACCGCACAGCCATTGCAGTGACAGATCCGAACTGTCCTGGACTTCTACATCTGGACCTTTGCTGTGCTGCTGCCTCGGTTTGCACCTTCTGGGGGTGCAGCCTTGCAGAGCCGGCATCAACGCCTGTGGATTAGGTTCGAGCTTGAGTTACATGGTCAGAGTCAAGCTGCACCAGCTTGCAACCTGCATAATCTTGCAGTTCTGGCTGCCAAGGCTGGGTTTCATTTACCTTCCCTTCCCTCTTCTGATCGTTCTTTGTTATCAGAGCCTTGACAGCAAGCAACGGGCATGAGCAAGGCAGAGAGCAAGGGGTTGGGCCGCTAGGTCACTGACCTGCGCTGGCCCCGCATGGGATTTATTGTGACGCCTGGTTGCATGCTGTCGGATCTGTGCACCGCACCCCTCCCCTCTTTCTCTCTCCCGTGCAAGTCGGGGTCAAGGTCCCTGGCGCCGGTCATCAGCCAACAATGGCCAGCGGTGCACTCGACTTTCCGATGTTCGTCTAGTGGGCTGCTTGCCAAGCAAGCTTCAACGAGGAACTACGTGGCTCTCGACCAGAGCTGAGACAGGCATGCATGTCCGTTGGATTGCCCACCGAAGCGGTTCTAGCTACAAAGTGCATCGGTTGCGGCAAGGCCTACTATTCCCCGCTGTCAGCAGGTTCTGTTTTCCAGTCTTGGTGTCTTTCGTTGTCAAAACGACTGCAGGCTTATCGCACGGACACCGACTTCGACGTTACCACAAAGTGATCCGGTTCATGTAGAAGGATTAGGTGCACGGAACATTTGCGGCCCAGTTGCGACGCTTACCGGAGGAAATGCGCCTGTTGCACCAAAGAAGTGCGACGGCGCTGGAACATCGAGAGAGGATGGCCAAAGTCCCGAAATGCAGACACATGCAACGGAGCTCAAGTCCTGTTGATGACTTCGAGATTCCTGGGGGGGATCACACTTACTGTTGGTTGATTGGCAAAATTTGTTTCATGGATGTGTGCTGCCATTGCTTCGTCAAATCCAAGAGTGTTGTCGCGTAGCATCCCCGCTGTGCGTGACAGCAGACACCTGGCTGCAGTTCAGTCATGCTTGTGAAGCTTAGTGTTTTGGGTGCAGGTGCCACGCTCTGCCACAGCTGCTGTTTCCATATGTTTCGGTGCTTATGCAGGCATTCTTGCCTAATACGTACAGGGATCACTTCAAGGCTTTGGTCCTGTTAGCTAAAGGAGCTAAAGGATGTCAAAAGGCATAGGCATAGGATGGCAGCTGGCATAGGTCTAGTGTCCGATGCTAACCAGGCTGGTCTTCATGACACATGAGCCTGTCGGCAGTAAGCGAAGCTCTCATGTTGCGACTGTGGCTCACAGAGACTTTACTGCGCAGCTTTTGACCAGAGTCCCTAAGCCACTGTCACTGCCGTGAAGCTCAGTCCAAGTGGCCTGGCTCCGAGGATGCTCTGGGGCTTGCCGGAGGGCCCGCCTGCTGCTTTGGCACCAGGCTCTCGCCGCGGCTCGGAGGCCCAACATTTTTTATGGATTATGGAAGCGTAGGAGATCATAGGAGCACCGTCGGACGATGTTTGGACGTGCTCCTCAACACCGACTGCGCAGAGCCTGCGCCTAATGCAGGCTGCATCAGAGCACACCACTGCTGTGGCGCTTGCGGGAGGCCGAAGGGCACAGAGGAGCGGAGTCACATCCTTCAATCTTTGGGTTGGGGTCACGGGAATCACAAGATATCGACCGAGTCAAGATCAAGTCGTTGCTGACATACCTGGCAAAACAAGGGGAGAATGTAGGAAAGGCCTCTTCAAGGCTGGAGAAGTACAAAAACCTGCAGACTGCGCTCGGGCGAGGTACTCGAAATGAGGATGGCGCCAGCTTAAGGCGGCCTTCCTCACGCTGCTCGCAGGGGCCCTTAAATCCGAAGCCACACCTCCATGGCATGTGCAACTGCTCGGCTGGTTATGTGAACTCAACGACCAAATGGCGAAGCCTCTGACTCGCATGTGATCCGATGCTCCGTGGCATTCTGTGCACAACTGACACCTAGGTCTTTCGAGACGACGGCAGCAACGTCACTGGAGTTCGCTCCATCGCACAACTCTGCCAGAGAACCAGGAGCCTTGGCGCAAGAGTTGAGTTCAGAGTTGAGGCCTCAGCGGAAGCCACGTCGTTTCACAGGTCTCAAGCTCGGACCCAACGACTTCACATCTTTGACTTCGGAACGTACAGTTTCCGATGCACAAACATCCTTCATGCCGGGGCGCCGAGTTGCTTTCTTAACTTGAGGTGTACGCACAGACAGTAAACAGACAGACATCTCAGTATGTTGTGTGGTGCCAAGGATACCTCCACAATGGTCCAGGCTTGAGCGGAGCACTACGAGGCCGTAACCGGCGTCTTTAGCGTCACTCTCACGACTCGAAGACAGACGTCTTGTAAGTTTCCCCGGTCGTACGAATGCTCCTTGATGCAGGATGTCACAGGGCTCAGGAAACTTTGAGCCCACGGCATCTTCGGATCTTGTGTGGCTCGGCCTGCCAAGGATGCCCAAGCGCACCACTGTCGCCACGTCGCACACGAATGCCGTTCCTGCCCGAGGCTTTTTCCAAATCCTTCACTCGCACTACCTGCACCTGCACTGCTACAACATTCTGCACTTCTGCATCAACATGACCTTTCAAATTTAGTCGGAGGTGCCCTTTGAGTTCGCTTTGAGCAAGTCATATTTCCTGTAACAGGATTCGCAACTGACTTTGAAAACAACGAACAAAAAAGTGCATGCTGATGCTGGACAGTGCAGCAGTGGTGTATCCCATCAGGCTAAGCAGATGCTTCAAGCATGATCAACTCGAATTTCTCGCAATGTAGGTGTCCTTTAGCCGTTAAAGTCTGTCAACATCTGCTGCTTCTGTCTGTCTGAAGATGCACACGTACGTGTGAGGAGGCTCCCATCAACTCTTCGAGCGTTGTGACTCTGTCAAGTTGTGTTGTCCCTCCACTCAGTAGAATGACTATGTCTGGTTCAGGGAGTTTCAGGTAACCTCAACCGGTTCAATCGACCCAGGACGTTGCGCATGCTAGGTTGGATGAAGATGAGGTTCTTTGCTTATGCTGGATGATGATGGCATGAGTCTGAGCCGGGGGCTCTACGTACCTTTTTGCAAGCATGCGTGCACATGGATGTGTATCTTCATCATAAGTCGTCAGACAGTATCGAGCTCGTTAGATCCAGTTGGTTGTCGCGCCTGGTTTGGCAAAACAGGTTCCCCCAAGTTGAAAGTCCCGCTAGCCTACAAGACCCTGCAAATTGGTGTTCACCAAGACTGCCAGTTGGAATTCCCCCAACTGATGCTGGAAAGCTGCAAATGTTAATAGCTTGCTAAATCAGGACCCTGCATGCAAATTGGAATTCCTCGGTAGCTTTCCACGAAACAGGATCCGCCTGTCGCAAAGCAGAACCCTCAGCCCTCTCTCCGCAACCGAAAAGATCGGAACATGTTGCCAAGTTGATTGCGCAGGTGCCCAGGCGTGGGTTGCGACTGCAATCTGCGGATCTGGTCACTTCCGGGTGAAGGACTCAGTCTGTCTGCTTTTGTAGCAAATCTTCACCGTTACGGACTGTGGTCAGGTCTCTAACACCAAAATTCCCCACAGGTCATATTGTCAGCATGGTGACGTACGTAGTTCTTGCAGACATCAGCGAGGCTACATAGTAAGCTGCAGTCGCAGGAGCGATAAGAAGTACTAGGGCTCTGTTCAGAAGGGCACATAGGATTCGACATGGATCCGTCTACGGCCTCTATAAAGCTCATTTAGCAGCCACATCAACTTGGGTGTATTCGTAGTGTTGACAGCAGCTATGCAGCTCACAGAGAAGGATACATCAGCAGCTGACAGTCGTGGCATGGTCTTCTCCTACCTTCCGAGCAAACCGGGAATCATTCCGTTGATCTCTTCTCAGAGATCACTACAGACAGCCCAACTCATGGACAAGAAGCGGTACACATCCCAGAATGCTCAGGGTGGTGGCTTTGGCCAGGCATTAAATATAGTGTTGATGTACAGGCTGTCCCGCAGCCCTGGCAGTCTTGAATTGACAAGGCTTGGTGGTACGTTTACACTTACATAGTTCTCTGGTTGAGCACCAAAGCAGACATCGAGAATCGCACAAGTGGCTGAGGTTGGAGATGAGTTTCACCCACTGCCTGGCGACGTGTGGGAAACTTGCCAGAAGTTTTCGGAAAGCCTTTTCGGCGTTTGCTGTCCAGGCAAGTTGGATGGGCTATATGTAAACCAATCCACTTGTTTTTCTGAGGCCTGTGTGGGCAACGTGGTTTTGCTTCAACGCGAGCAGCAGGCCTGCAAAGTGGGTCTGGCTACTGTAGCCGTAGCTGCAGCTGCAAAGCGCAGTGTGGGTGTGAAGGTCGTCCTATGCAGGCATGCATCGTTTCCGCAGATGGTTCGTGCCACTTAAGCCGCAAGCATCCTTGCCAATTTGGAGATTTGCAGAGTTGCGCCTGTCCGGCCGCAAAGCCTTAAAGCATCGACAATCCCGCAGCATTTCTGAGATCTGAGTGAGGTTCAATATTTCTGCAATCGCTTGCCGCTTTGACTGTTGGTGGATGGCAGTTTTTGGAGTTTCCTGACCATCAAACTGATGTAGAGCCCAAGTTCCGGTTAAGGAAAACTCCGGGAGATTGTCAGCAGTACTCCTGCCCCGTGGCACAGTGGCAAGTTCCGCTGCTCCAGGAGCAGGCCTTCATGGACTCAGCCTCAGCCGCCCAAGTCTATCACCAAACTTGTAGTTCAAAGCTGCAAGCTTCCAGCCTCAGGATTCCCTAGCCTCCTTCTTGGATTGTCGCCTTGCAGCGGTTGCAAGGACGGGGATGGTACCAGTTTTTGTTTGCGAAGGTCATGGTCGCCTGTAGCCTTATAATTGTTGGCAAACACTTCTTAGTTGCCTTGACTCGGACTTCAGTGAGATATCACGGCTCATGAGCCTGCATATCTGATTCTTGCAGCATCAGGAGTGTAGTTCAGCCGGGGGTGACATACTCATCCTCGGGCATTTGTAGCAGCAGCCGCTTGGTTGGTTTCAGCTGCTCTTCTGAAGTCAGACGGACGTGCGAGCACCTCCGAGGTTTGCACATTTGGCAAGATGCCTGCCCTCAGAGCTATTGTGCATCCTTGACGACGGCGGCGAACATGTGGCGCCATGGCCCTCGATGTTTCTGCGTATGCGGATGCTAGGGTTCTTCGTCTTTGGCGGGTTCTTGTGACATGCTTCGAATGCGACTAGCGAAAACTCGGTCTTTCAATATAAATTGCATATCCTTCGAGCATGCGCAAGCTCAAGGGCGAACACAAGCTTAGCACAAGCTTGTTGTTACAGGAGTTTTGGGATGCTTCACCAAACCCAAATCTTGAGACAGCCTCACGTGTGCAAGGGACGCGTGAGGGCGAAGAACAAGGGTTCCTATTAATTAGTTGGCGTGCATGGAACAAAGATGTGGAGCAACCCTCGTGTGTTAGAGAATCCTAGCTGTAGCTGTGAGCTGAGGAAAGC